TGTACATTCACACACACACACACGCATACACGCATACAAAAGACGGCAGTACGCGGCAACAGCAAATTAAACATGTATATACGTATGCCTGAACACATATATACATCAAAAGCACAAAGTTACATGACGCTGCAGCACTTTGCCTTCGATTTTTGTTTCATATAGGTTGCATGCGTGTAATACAGTGCATCTTCCCTGTAGACACGTTTCCCCTCATCATCATGATCAGCTCTAACCTCGTCCATGCCTCCCGATTTGTTATCTCCTTCTGGCTTGGATACCATCGGTCTCTCGCTCAACGCTCTTCTTGATTCTGGCGGCGAAATTAATGCAACTTGAGATTGTCGTGCTTCTGACTCGTTTCGCTGCGTAATCGTTTCTCGTTCTTGAGATCCCGTCACACTTTTCTGTCGCACATTCACTTTGGAGACTTCCCTTTTGACTTCTGGCACTTCGCTTCCCTTATTGGCCTCCTCCCGTTCCTTATGGTTTACTTTATTTGCCTCATTTTGGTTCCTCTCCTGCTGAATTTTTTTCTCCTCTTCTTCCATAGCCACTCGCTTCAATTCCTCCAATGGTACACTCCTCCCTCTGTTTTTACTTCCAATCCTCGTCTTCTCCCTCTCTTTTGGATTGCCAATTTTATTCTCTGAGGAAGGTGACATATTCCCCTTGAATCGGTGGGACAAGGTTGATTGGCCAGTATTCCTCTTTTCCTCCTTTAAAGGCTGTGCCGCCCTCTTCTCCGTCACCTCGTATACATCAATGACAGCCACAACAGATGTGGAGGCAGAGACCGAAGCCGAGACTGTATTCTCAGCCGGTACTCTACTTTGGCCTTGATTAATCAAGGGAGGATTTTGCCTCTGTTGAGCAAGGGGGAAAGAAATTTGTGCGGCTTCCGTGTCACTCTCAGAAGAGACAAAAACCTCAAAAGAACTCGTGCGCTCATCCGCGCAAAGCCATGGTTGTGAGGAGCCGTTTCTCTGCTCCAACGTCTTTTGAGCTGCAGCGACAGTAGCCACAGAAAAATCACGACTCTGAATCGCTGGCGAAGGCAAGTTTGTCGTTACACCTTGATTCCCCTTCTCTAAGTAGGGGTTCGCTGATACCACAGGGAAATTGACGGACATGGAACGGATGCCAGCGTCATGGATCTTCACACTACTTTTTTCAGACACTTTTTTCAACCCAGAAGGGCTAACATGGGCCAATGAAGACCGCCTCGAGTTCGGGGTGCCGACTAGCGATATGATTGCACCCTTTGAACAAGGCCGGCCGCCCTTGTTGGAACAAGTTTTTGTACTGCTTGTTTTGAATTGCCTAACACCTCGTTTGGCTGCTGTTCTAGTATGATTTTTTCCCGGTATTCCGCGAGAGGTAACGGGCGACGACATAGCACAGCCAGATAGCAGCATCGGTGAGGGCGATGACAACAAACCCTCTGGGGTTGCGCTAGAAGAGGACACCTCCAAGGTAATAAGTGTCCCTCCTATCGACTCATCGCGTAGTGGGGAGGCGTGCGCAGTAGCTGTGTCGGCCTTGGCGGCAATGTCGTATCTGGCTACTGCCTTCTCCGCATTGCTGTTGCTGCAAGTGCCAGTATTGACGGGCCGTTGAGTCCCACGAGCCGTTGATGCAGATTCTACCCTTGACAGACCCTCACTTATTGCCTCCTCCTCTCCGTTTCGAAACGACGATGTGAGTTGCGTGTTTACATTGGGAGCCGCACCCGTGTTACTGTTGTTTCTGTAGTGCGATGTACTGTCAAGAAGCCAATCTTTCTGCGAAGCACTCAGTTTTCTCAATGGTTCACAATTCGTAAGCTCCTCCAGCTCCTTGTGAATGTTTAAAGGTCCCACCGCATTCATTTGCCGTGGCATTCCGTCGTTGATATTTCCGTTTCCTTGCGTATATATATATATATATGGGATAGAGAGCGTTAACAACAGACAGATAAAAGAAGCTGCCTAATATACTGACGCACACTCAATCTTTTTTTCTTTTCCCTTTCGTCTCTTAGTGATATGCCTTTATTTGGACACCGTTCCCTCCTCCTCTCTCCAAAAGGAGCTTAAACAATTGAAAAATATTATGAAAATTCTCCCTACAGTTCCACTTCCTTATGTTTGCGGATATGTGTCCTTTGATTATGTTTTTTGTTTGTTTTTTTTTTTTTTTTAGGTCCCTTTTTTTCTTTTTTTTCTTTTTTTTTTGCCTTTTTTTCCTCTTTTTTTTTACGTCTACTTCTCCACGTGTCGCGCGTTCCGGCCCTAATTGCGTGTATTGTAATGCAATGTAATTTTGTGTGTGTTTGTGTGTGTGTGTGGCTGCACCCCTCTTGTCTTCACTCACCCTCTCGCGCTTGCGTACTGTTGCCCCTCCCCCTCCCCCCCCCCCGTTTTTCTTCTCTTTTCTTTTTTTCTTCTCCTCCCGCCTCCCAACCTCACCGCAGACGCACGCCTGTTCTCGAGACCACTCAAGCAGCTCTCGTCGCTGCAGCGTAAAAGATGCGTGTTTGTTCGGGGCAAAAAAAAGAAAAAAAAAAAAGAAAAGAAAAAAGAAGAGAAAAGAAAAGAGAAGCCAACAGAAAAAAAAATATATATATTTATATTCGTACAAAAGAAAAAAGTAATCCATGGAGAAACGTCTACAGAAGACAAGAGCATAAACACATACATGTATACACGTGTTCATATATATATATATATAAAGAGCTTTTTTTTTTTTTTTGCGGATGAGAGGGCCAAACAATAATAGTAAAAAAAAAAAAAACGAATGACGAGTCACCTTTCATCGTGCGGAAAACACAATTACCGAAAAAGGGACAAAGCAAGAATTACAATAAGGGTAAAAAAAGTAAGAGTCAACAACAACAACAAAAACAAGAAAAAAAAAAAAAAAAAGACGAGGACGAAGACGAAAAAAAAAGGGAAGGAAGGAAGGAAAATTGAAATAAAATAAGGTGTAAAACCTCAATAAGAAAAACCGATGCATGTCACTTCCCTTTTTTGTTTCTTCTGGCTTTTCAAATCAATGCGCGTATATTATTCACCGCTCTCATTCCCTCTCCCTCTCCCTCTCTCTATATATATATATTGCTTGCTTACTTCTGCTGCCTCAGCTGCGGGCTGGTGTATGACCCCTTTCATTTATTCATTTCCATTGGCTGCCTCATTATGAGTAGTCCCTTAGTAATGTATGTACGAATGTGTATACTTCTTCCATGTCTTTCCCCCACACTTCGCGTGCGGCGTGGGGGGGGGAGAAAAAAAAAAAAAAAAAAAAAAGAAAAAGTCATATGAAAAGGAAGAAACAAACAATAGCAAAAAAAGAAAAAAAGAAAAAAAAAAGCAAAAAAAAAAAAAAATCCAGCGGCTCATATCCACAAATGCCAATGCAGACGAATACTTTTATGTATTGTAATAAACACGTGTTTCTGCACATGTAGAAACATGTGTCCTTTCCGCAACGCCTTATTTACGGTCCTCTAACAACATATGGACTGGTCTCCCCCCCCTCCCCAATCCCCACACACAAACACCTCCCCCCTTTCCGCTCCCCACGTACCTGTGTGTTACTGTGCGACTCCCCACTCCATGCACTCGTAATATTT